AACTAATACTGTTTTTAGAGGAATGTGCAAGAAAGTGTAGTAATTCATTCAAACCAGGAACAAAACATTTTGAGTACAAGTTTTTATAATAGAAAGTAATTCTCTAAATGAGAACAAAACCACATGTATATGGTTTATAGAAAGTCCACTGGGCTTAAATAATTGGAACAAGGTTACAGTCCTAATACCAGCACTAACTGGATGACTTTGGACAGCTCACCAAACCTATCTGAGACTTACCTCTCATGTGCCATTGGAGATGCTGGGTCATACAAATACAAAGTATTTCCCAATTTTGAAAATTTTATAATTTCATTGATTTGTGTATAAATGATGCCTTTAAGCCTTTAAATATGGCCTTGTGAGTAGGTTAAAAATAATTTCTCCAGTTTTGTTTACATTTCTTACTTGTATATTCCAGTGAGAAACCTTATCAACTTCTCAAGATCTCATTTTGGGCTGGCACTATATCATATTTTAGAAATTGTAAGAAAATGAGAATGGGCAGAACCTACATGATCTGTTAATATAAAGAACATAGAGTCTCAGGGAGAAAACCTATTGCAACAGGTCTGGCAGGTGGTGTGGTGATTAAAGGGGCTGAATTCCCACATAGCCCACCGTGGTTCGAGTCCCGGACTGGCAGCTTGCTTTCTTTTTTTCCCTTTCACTCTCTGTCTCTCTAGTCAAATTAAAAAATTATAGCAAAAACAAATGGAAATAAATAAATAAATAAAAAAATCCTTAAAAAAAAAAAACAAAACCCTATAGCAACAAGCCATTTCTGAACGAAAGTAAAATGAATAGATTTATGTAGAAGGTGAATCTTTTTCAATATTCCAATCATCTTTGGGGATCTGACGAAATAATTACAACACTGCTTTTGGAAAATCTGTACTGTTACATTTGCAACGCGAATTTCAAGGGCATTCAAATAGATTTTTACAAGCCCTTTACTTTGGCTTAATCGAGCTCTCATAAAAATTTACCTGGCACGAATGAAGTAAAAAAAAAAAAAAAACCAAAAAGATTTAATGATATTTAATAACAGAGCTTATAATGACTTATTAGAGCCATTCCTAGGTTTTGAGGCAGTGCATGGATTACCAGCTAAACCACTACAAAATATGTTTCCTATAGGAACTTAAATATTTAATTATTACAAAAGTTGATAGTAAACACAAACTAGGAAGGCTTCCTATTTTATCAAGGAAGTAAACACAGATTCTGATACCTACAAAACACAAAGCAAACAAAATAATGCCAGGCGTGGATTCTGAATTTCTACTGTAATATTAGAATTCCCTCAAAACACTACAATCTGGGGGGACCAGCAGTTAGTGTAATGGCTATGTTGCTGGACTCCCATGCAGTTGACCATGGTTCAAGTGCCGGACCCGGTGGCTTAAAACTCACGCTGGGCACGTGTGCGTGCCTGCCAAGATCCCAAGAGGAGAAGCAATTGCGGTGTGGCCATCCCCCCGGGTGGTGATTTGTCCCTTTCTGTCTGTCTCTGTCTTTCTGGCAAGAGTACGCACCCTATAGCAAAAAAACTCTCCAAAAAAAAGAGAGAAAAAACTGAAGTCTGATCTCCAGAGGTATTTCACAGTCATCATTCTTGAATTAAGGCATAACATACTAAGCCATACAAGAAAAACTACTAAGACTTTTTAAGGTGGTGATGAATCTCCTATTTCAGATGCTAGATTATTAGAGATATTTTAAGGAGAAAAGGGGTATCTGTGGGTACTTTTTTGTCTTGAACTAAGCTGAGTTCTAATTCACAATTAGAACTTAAGTTCATATGTATTTAAGTTAATTCATTCTCCCAGAATTTAAAAAAAGGGGAGAGAAGAATCCTTTCATTGGGGGAAAGAGGATTTCACTGGTGTATATCCTAATGTAGAGTCCTTTTTTTTTTTTTTTTCCCCTGTGACTTCAGTAGTAACCATAAATAGGTGACAAGTTACTTATCTTTGAGGACATATTATAAATGTTGCAACTACATAGGCAGTTCTGTTACCTTTTTATGAACAAGTGAGGCTATATCTTCTATAAACCATACTGTATATATTCCTAAATAGCTGTAAAATAAATCTGAAAAAAATCAGAGTATAGTCTCCTTAATTTTGAATATAAGTTTAGCAACATTCAACAAAAAAATAATATATGCAATGAACAGCTAATATCTAATGCAAAGCTTTTAATTCTGAATCCTGTCATTGACACCATGGATCCCAAGAGGAGAAGCAATTGCGGCGTGGCCATCCCCCTGGGTGGTGATTTGTCCCTTTCTGTCTGTCTCTGTCTTTCTGGCAAGAGTACGCACCCTATAGCAAAAAAACTCTCCAAAAAAAAGAGAGAAAAAACTGAAGTCTGATCTCCAGAGGTATTTCACAGTCATCATTCTTGAATTAAGGCATAACATACTAAGCCATACAAGAAAAACTACTAAGACTTTTTAAGGTGGTGATGAATCTCCTATTTCAGATGCTAGATTATTAGAGATATTTTAAGGAGAAAAGGGGTATCTGTGGGTACTTTTTTGTCTTGAACTAAGCTGAGTTCTAATTCACAATTAGAACTTAAGTTCATATGTATTTAAGTTAATTCATTCTCCCAGAATTTAAAAAAAGGGGAGAGAAGAATCCTTTCATTGGGGGAAAGAGGATTTCACTGGTGTATATCCTAATGTAGAGTCCTTTTTTTTTTTTTTCCCCTGTGACTTCAGTAGTAACCATAAATAGGTGACAAGTTACTTATCTTTGAGGACATATTATAAATGTTGCAACTACATAGGCAGTTCTGTTACCTTTTTATGAACAAGTGAGGCTATATCTTCTATAAACCATACTGTATATATTCCTAAATAGCTGTAAAATAAATCTGAAAAAAATCAGAGTATAGTCTCCTTAATTTTGAATATAAGTTTAGCAACATTCAACAAAAAAATAATATATGCAATGAACAGCTAATATCTAATGCAAAGCTTTTAATTCTGAATCCTGTCATTGACACCATGGGGTTTAATAACAATAAACTTTAATGGCTCTGTCTTAATTTCATTTCTGAATTTATTTTTTATACTTAAGAGGCTTATTATAATTAAAATTATAAAGATAAATTATCTTAGCAGCCCAGAAGGCATAGATATCTAAAACATTTATATAAACAGAACTTCTCATTAAAGAGCACTGACAAAAGTATATAAATTATATTTAATTCTACTACAGTGAGTTAGATGAAAACATTCTAATGGATTGTGCAAGAGTCACAAATCTAGCTGCTGGCTCTTTACTTGTGTGAACTTGGGTAAGTCATTAATTAGCCATTTATGCTGGCTGCCTCCATCTGTAAAATGAGGACAGTGCTGCTTCCCAACTGCATGAGCATATCCCATGGCCCAGCTTGGAGAAGTTTCCTTCACAATTTAATCTTTTTAAAAAGCAAAACCCAAACAACATAAAAATGTACAAGAAATGTTCATTTTCCCTTAAACTTGCAAACTACACAATGTCTCCCAATGGCATTACAGAAGCTGAACTATTTCACTGTTCATGAAAATAGTCATGCTTATTGATTCACAAGGCTTGTGTCTACATGAGAGGGATCTCTGAGGGTAAACAGGGGATAAGTTCTAGGGGGAAAGAATGCAATGAGTCATTAGGACTACAAGTGAAATGAAATGCTATACCAAATCCTGTCTAAACTTCAGGACTTAAAATGAGAAACTACTTTTTTCTATGAGAACTCAGCAATTATAATTTTAACGAATGTTAGGAAAGATTTTCAAGCTCTTAGTTGACATGTTTAAACGCAAGTGTTTTCAATGAAATATGTCATTTTATAAAATGCATTCGTTATTAATTAATGCCAAAAATAAGAGAATTTTTATAGAATTACATATGGACACATGACTACCAAAGCAGTTCATCATGATTGATGTTATTATTCTGAATACCAAAGGAGTTAGTAATGATTCGGTGCCTTCCCATGAAGTTCAAGCCAATGTTTTTTGTTTAATTGGTTCATCATTGCTCACTATCATTAGGACTACAAGTGAAATGAAATGCTATACCAAATCCTGTCTAAACTTCAGGACTTAAAATGAGAAACTACTTTTTTCTATGAGAACTCAGCAATTATAATTTTAACGAATGTTAGGAAAGATTTTCAAGCTCTTAGTTGACATGTTTAAACGCAAGTGTTTTCAATGAAATATGTCATTTTATAAAATGCATTCGTTATTAATTAATGCCAAAAATAAGAGAATTTTTATAGAATTACATATGGACACATGACTACCAAAGCAGTTCATCATGATTGATGTTATTATTCTGAATACCAAAGGAGTTAGTAATGATTCGGTGCCTTCCCATGAAGTTCAAGCCAATGTTTTTTGTTTAATTGGTTCATCATTGCTCACTAAATTGGTATTTTCTCTGTTATTCCTGTTTTGAGTCATCTGGTATTCTTCTGGAGTCTACATAATCTTTAGGTACATGCTTCAACTGAACCTGACATTGTACAATACATCCTAAAATCAGGCATAAGTAATAATCTTAAGAAAACAATGTTATTTAAACATGAAGTATAATTTAGTTTCTATGTCTTCATATTTAACTGAAAGAACAATTTCTTTTAAGGTAATTCAGTCCACTGCTAAATACCAAATTGTGACATTTACTTACATAAATTAAATTATATGCTTTAATACACCTAAGGTTAAAAAGGGTTCAATTACTGATTATCCCCTAAAACTGGAGATCAACAACATGAGTGATGTACGTTTATGTATAGTGTACCCATTCTACAAGACAAGAAGGGGTCCCATAATTAGGGATTGAACACATATTCCTGTGGGTTTATATTCCTGTATGTGTGCTTTACTGATAGTCCTTTCTAATCCAATATTTAACAAGTGAAAAATTAGTTAAATGTCTCCAACTCCGTATATTATTTTGTCATTAAAATTGAAAAATGCTTTTATGTATTATTAGATACACTTAAAAATGGACAAGACAACCATCTTTGAAAATTGGCAGCTCTTGGTCTAAGCTGGTACCTCAAAACTATAGCTTGAACGTACAGCAAAAGCTGACTGTGGACCTTACTGAATAAAGCTGCCTCTACCCAGACTCAGGGTTCCTTTCAACTCCCTGCTGTGAAAAAGGTAGGAAGACCCCTTGTTGCTGCTTGTATTGGCTATAACCCCCTCTGGAGTGTCAGTCCACTAACACTGAGTCTTGAGTTCTTCACCTGCTTCACTGTGAGATCTTAGGTAAGTCCCTCCCAAACTTCTGTTTTCTAATTTATAAAATGAGGGTCTCAGACTAGATGATGTCATGGATTGGAACAACCCTAACAATCATCACTGGCAGAGACCCAAGCTCTCCTAGGTGACCATGTAGGAAAAGATAAAGTCTAGGTAATATGACTTGATGTCCCTTCTACTCAATGATCTTAATGGCTGCTTCTATCCTTCACTTACGGTTATTTTAAGTGGTACCAGAATCTTCCTAACATTAAATAAAAGCTTAATAAAATCCAAGTATGATTATTCCCTACAATGTTTTGTCCTTGGTGCACTGAAACATCACTTGTATTTCCTATACTCAACATTACCATTTTCAGAACCCCTGTCCGATAGAAACACTCATGCTCCCAAGTAAAATGGTATCTTTTCAGAAGAAAAAGTTCCAAGAAAACAATTATGAACCCAATGCCTGTTGGGAGTTAAAATGTGGTAAGAAACCATTCTTTTTTCTTTTCTCTCTGAACAGTTTAAATGGTTAGTTCAAATGAGTAAGTTTCAACAAACATAAGATCACATGAGACCATCTCATTCACACATCCATCATTCTGTGCTGGCCATCAGACTGCCACTAGACAAATCTACGTCGAAGCATGGTATGTGCTTACAAAGGTTATTGAGGAGTCTATCTGGATAACAGCAGGTGAATCATTTTCACTTTTTTAAAAATAAAGTAATAGTTTTTGGAACACTCTATTTTAGTGTTTTTTTTTTTTTTCTTCTCATCTTCGATTTTCTTTCTTCTCTAAAAACTGGTAATTTCCCATAACTCTTGTTTGTGCTCTCCAAAAGCTACCATAACTCTTGGTGAAGAACGGTTGACAAAGTCAGTCAGGAAGATACATCTTTTTGAAAATGGAAGTCGTCTGGAGCCCATCAATTTTAACTATTTCGGTTTGAACTGAAGAGGAGTTTATGGCCCTTAGCCCCCATCCCTGGCAGTAAATTTACCAATGATTAAAGTGCCCGTTTTCCCTCACACTCTTTGCCCCACCACTCTGGTCTGCTCCTAGCAAAACATAAAACCGATCCCAAAGGACAAAACCTGCCACCAACGAGGCAGCTCTGTGGTAATTTCCCAAGGCATTATGATTGATAATGATCAGCAGAGCGTGGGATAATAGCTCCCCTTAATTTACCGGTCCCTTTGAAGGGTTAAAATATGGCAGATGTTGATAGCTGACACTTCTTGCTAACAGGAAAGACACATTGCCGTGGGGCCCACTTCTAGGCTTTCCCTTCCCCGCAGCTGTCTGTGTAGAGCTAATTGTATCCACTTGTTTAACCTCGGGGAACGTCTGGAGGGGACCCAGTGCCACAAGGGTACCTTTTTTTTTAACGGTCATTTCCTCTCTGGTGTAACTTGCATGACAGTATGTGACAAGCAGAAATTAATGGGGACACTGCTGTGCCAATTCCTCCTGAATTGCTGACACTGGCTACAGGCTGCCTGTTTGCCACCCAGCCAAGACCTCACATGAAACGTGGCGAGGGGCCCATAGCTCTATTCACCAACAAGCCAGCTGGTCAGTGATGAGAGGAGCCGAAACAATGTGGTGCGCACAAACCAGGAAGAAAATGCTTTACAAACCCACTCCAACCAAGGAGGTGGCATTTGCTGGGAGTTAATATGCTGGTTTATTTTCCTGAGTGGCCAGTCAGGACTCCAGTTTCCGAAGAACTTTCGCTATAAGAAGTACCTCTTCCAAGACTCCCTAAGGTCTAAGTTAGTATGGGAACATGCAAGCAAGCAGAAGCCACATGAGGTTCATCTCCAAGGAGGCTTTTCCAGCAGGCTGCTTCCAGGAAAGTCTGGGAGCCAACCGGGTATCTTTGCCTCTAGTTAACGAACAAGGTGCTGCCCAGTTTAAAAATTCTCCACGTGGGTATCTCTTTCACTCTTATTTGCACATGCAAGTACACATACAAGCACACACAAAAGAACCTCCAGTTGGGGTCCATTAATTGCCTGCAAGGTTTTGCAAGACTGGGGAATCTGCCCCAGCTTTGGCAAGATCCACTTTCTCCTCTTAAGATAATCAGGACTCAAACTCAGCAGGTGGTCACTTAAAATGGTGGCTGTGCTAAAGATTAGGTTCTGCTGTTTTCAGCGCAGATGAACAAATAAAAGCACATGAGTTTAAAAACAGAGCGGTGGCCTCAAGAAGATCACTCTTTGGCCACAAAAAGTTAGTTACAGGGACAGTCTATCTTCCCACAAAAAAATGGAACTAATAAAATTCTCCAACTCACGTGGGCAAGAAGAGACCAAAAGCGAATAACACAAAGACTGCATGCCCACCTCCACTGGACAAAGCCGCTGGGATTAACTTCAGTGGATAGGCTGTTATTTCTGTAAATATAATTTGTAAGAGATCTACTGAATTTAGGAAAAGTTAAAAATGCTTCTAACTCTTAACTGGAATGCAGCTTGGAAAAAACACAAAGGAAGAAGTCATGGAAATGGAAACGTTAATCTCTTCAACAAACACATTTCTAAAATATATAACGCAACCTGAGCCTTTTTAAATGTTCACTGCCAACCTAGTCTTTAAGGATCCCAGTTTTCTGATTACAAAGTAATAGTTTAATGAAAATTCAAACAATCCGAAGAGCACTCAGAATGTACTGCCCAAATAATGGATCCTGTTTGCTCCAAAGCAGTGTGGAAGCCTTAAATAAAACAAGAATCCCATTGAACTTCAGACATTCCTTCTTATGTGATAACTGGACAGTCTGATTTTGAATCTCTCAGAATCGATTCTGCAAATGTTACTGAAGACGCACGCAAGTGAATCCCCAGCTCCTCCTGGCTTGCGATGCCCATGGCTCCCACAGTGGCTCAGCTGCTTAGCCCAATGGCTCAGTCAAGAGGTCTGCTGGGGAAGAGGCCATGAGTTCACTGCCCGTATCTCCAGGGTAGTCATCTCACTGTTACACAGGTCAGAAAATCTGGTCCAGCTAAGTTACCCTAGTAGTGCTTTCCATAGAATTTCTCCTTAGTTAAAATACCATTGGGTTGTTAGAAAAGTCATGACACATTTTTGCATAGAAAAAAATTACATTTATGAATTTAGCTGCAGTTTTTGAGCTCTCCATTTTCTCTGGACTATTTGTATCTTAAGTTTAAAATGCCGGGATTAAAAGAAATTGCTCCATATAGAATTTCATTACACTACTTTTCAGAAATGTGTAATTTTAGGCTAGATAGGAAATACCTGTACTCCTTAAAAATAGCTTTTTCCATCAAATACAACATTATAGTAGCTAAGAAACTGCATGACTTCTCAAAGGCTATCTACCTACAGTTTGTTATTTGTGAGTTAGGGAACTGTAAATTGTACTTAAAAAGGCAATCCAACAAGTATCTGCATATACCCCATTTCCAGGGATCATATCCTTTCTTGATAGTTTGTCAGGCCTCTTTAGAAAAAGAAGACTAGAGATCTCTGTTATGGCTTTCCTGTGGCAAGTAAAAGGCGAGGCGATGGTTTTCCAGTCCACTTCTCCTGGCAACATGTTCATCAATCACCAGAGCCTAGGACTTTGTTATTTTGGTTGGGGGAAAGGGAGCTCAGTGGTCTCTGCCTCAGTGAAATGAGATGTTCCTTAACTTGAATATAGGATGTCATCAGGGCATGGTGCCTCCACCTTGAGAGCATTGGCTTTAATGGCTTAGGGGTTCACATGGCTAAAGTAGAACACAGGGATTTTAGCTACTGTCCATGTTCTTGGTGGTACTAGTTTTCTTTTGTAAAGAATTATTTTGTTTAACTTTATTTATTTATTTAAACTTAACCAGAGAGAGACAGAGAGTGAGAGAGAGAAGGAATGTAAGAAAGCAAACCACTAGGTCTGGGACTCGAGTTGCAGTTGGCCATGTGGAAGTCCAGTGCCCTTAACCACCATACCACCTGCTGACCCCAGTGGTGCCAGTTTTCTAAATCTAACAAGGGAACTACCAAATCTGTTGGTATTTATCTTTTTGTAAGTGAAGTTTCCTCAGCAGTTTTCATTTACTGCCATCCGCACTGATCTATTTCTACTTTCACAAGTTCAAAGGACCAAACTGGGAAGGGCAAAAGACTTTAAAATAACGCAATAGTAAATAAAACCTTAATAAACATACAGCCTGCTTCTCTTTGATTGGCATCATGTTTCCCTTTCCCCTTTAACTTGGAAGAAATGTAGATTGTCTTTGAGAAGACAGTGGATTTATATACAAACATGTTCTTGTATGGGTAAGCACATGTAACAAAGATCACTTTTAGCATCTTGAGATTCAAATGACGTATTTTACATTTCAGGAAAAATCAAAAAGACACTCCTTTATTAAATGAACTCTGCATTCATAATATCCAATCTACTTGTGGGCAATCTCCACGTACCAGCCAATCCAAGACTTGAAAAGAAATGTTCTTTTATCAGCAGGCACAGAATAACCCATACATCCTAAAAAGCTTTTGATCAAATTTATAATGTAACTTTTACAAGTTTTCACTTTAGCGAGAAGACTGAAAGTTAATTTTAAGTAAAAAATATTGAAAACTTAAGAGATTGTTAAAGAAACTCATACTGGTGCCTGCCAATGTAGTAAAAACAGACCATACCTTTACTTTATTCTGTATCTAGCTATTAATTGAAATGTTTACTACTCATTAGAAATTGTGTCCATTTACAATCAAGCAAAATTCTTCATGGTCCAATTACACTAGTCAATGAAAAAAATGCCAGTAATATTAAAAGAGATAATAACAGTGATGTGTCTTATTGAAAAACCAATCACATCGTTTTTTTAGTTCTTCAATGTTTGCCATTTTACCAATATAAATATCATCAATAAACATGTATTCAATGTTTTTAATACATACAATTGATTATTTCATAAAATCTGTCCTGTTTGTTGCCTAATACGGAAAGGAAGCATTATCATGTTAATTAAGAAGAACTGCGACTTCTCTGAAATAGAGGGCAGTCTCCCACTGAACTGTATATAAAATAACCCTTTTTTTTGGATTATAAAATATTAGGTTCAATCACATGAAATTGCCACTGTAAGGCAAAATAAGTCAACTGTTGACAATTTCTTATGGTTTAAAGTAGCAGTAATACGTGTTCACTTTAAACTGTAAATATAAACACTTTATACCTCAACAATATACATTACAAGTTTACTAGTGTTTAGTATATTTTCTTCCAGTATATTTTAATGTTAGAGGGTGTCCGCATGCTAGAACGACAGACAGACAGACAGAGTGCCCCCCACCCCCGTGCCCCGTGGGGTCTGGTCACACTGCAGTCCGCAGTCCTCCTTCCTCCAGCCCTCTGTCCCATCGGGATCCTTAGCACACGCACACATGAGTCTGTCACGTTTTCCAAGCCACTGGGGTTGAGATTCAGAGTGAACCATGTGAGATCTGGCTCCCTCCACATAGCACTGAACTACCATAATACAGGGCCAGCCAGCCCACTAGTTGAAAAAAAGAAAAAAATCAAACATATATTTGAAATATATTTCCTTACTGGATCATACTATATATACAATTTGAATCTTTCTTTAGGCAATTGTCTTCAAAAATATGTTTTTTTTTAATCTTTCTATTAGATGCATTCATTGTTTAGATAAATTTTCGTTT